CGGGGTCGCGGAGCCCGAGCTGCGGCGCCCCCTGGCGGCCGGACCCGGAGGCGCCGGTGTCAGGGTCCCGCCCTGCCAGCTCAGCCCGCGGCTGCCTCCGCGGTCCGCGGAATAGTTCAGGGTCTCGGCCGTCACGCGGGGCCACCCACGCGCCTCCAGCATTGCCACTTCTCTCCATACTCGGAGGCTCAGGCCATGCACGACACTGCCAACTGGCCATCCCCACCCTTCAGGTTTGGTGGGGGAGGGCGATTGCGGGGCAGAGATGGTAAGGGGCAGCCACCTGACACTTCACTTTCTAGGACTTTGGGTCTACGAAGTCAAAGTCACCTCCTGCACAAGAGGCTGGCTGGACACCCCATCTTTTAGAAGAACCTGGGAAGAGTCAGCTCAAAGCCCTGATGGTACATGACTGTAATTTCAGCACTCAGAGGCTGAGGCAGGAGGATCTCAACTTTGAGACTAGCCTGGACTTCTTAAGTGACTTAGTGAGATCCTGTTTCAAAATCAAAATAAAAAAGGGCTGGGGTGGTAGCTCTGTGGAAAGTGCCTGGGTTCAACATCCAGTACATAAACACAAAAGAAAAAGAGCTGAGTCTGCCCACTTACTCTGCCAGTCCTGAAGGCTGCCCCAGACCCACAGGCACAGAATCAAGAGAGGGGGGGACACAGGCCCAGCACGTCTGCTGACCAGTCCGAGCAGGAAAACGGTTCAGGGCATTGGGCCTGTAAAGCTGACCACCCAGGGCTCTGCCCCAGCTGAGGACCGAGGTCGGGAGCCCAGCACATCTCAACTCTGACCTCTGTCCCAAGGAGAGAATACCCAGCAGTTCCTGGTATTTTTTTCTTTCTACATTTTATTATTTCAAACCATGTGAACAATTCCATAAAACATGTGAAAAAAGCAAGGAAGTGTTCAACGCTGAAGGACCCAGGCCTGGGGCAAGGGCGCGAGGGGCCTGGCCCCTTGGCAGGCAGCAGCGGTTCCTAGGTTAGCGCTAAGGAGCTACATTTGGGTTAATGGAGCCTGGGCCCAGGGCCGCCGGCGGGCCCTCAGTGACGTTGGCAGTTGTCTGGAACAGCCCTTGGAACCCATTTCTGCAGAGGGCAGGGCAAGGGCGCCACCACACGGGGCAGCCAGCAGAGGACAGGTGTAAACACGCGGACACACTCAAGGCACAGTCACTGGAATGGGGTCGGGTGGGTGCTGGTCAGGATCTGACAGTTTTAAATAGGTTTTCTCTAAAAAGTTTTCTAAGTTCGCAGTTTTTTTTTTCCTTTACTTTCATTTTTTAAAAAAGCTATGAGAATGAGCGGGTGGACTTGTGGTCTCCAGGAATGGTGGCGTCTTACACTTCTTGTGCTTTTTCCTTTGGGGCCTCTGAGCGGTAGTGGGGGCGGGGCGGGCAGGAGGCTCCCTGTAAACATTTGGACTTGGGCTGGGTCAGGGCTGGTGCTGGGCGCAGCCGGGGGTCTGGGCTGGAGAAGTGGGTGCCCCTCC